GAAAAGTAGTTAAAAAGGGAAGTCAGGGGACAATTTTTATCACTCAAATTAAACTTCAATATAGGTGTTTGAAAAAAAATTATCTAGGCCTATTCAATAAATTAATGCTGTCAAATTACATATGTATTCAAAGTTTGCATTCGCACTATTTAAAAAAACAAAAAAACAAAAAAACAAACGAACTGGTCATTTCAGTAAGATACATATATTCAGAGGGACGTACTGTACTGGATTGTTTTTCTTAATTGAAACCATGCTTAAAAAAGAGCACTCCATGCTATTTTTTACCACCCTCGAATAAAACCTAATAATTTATCAAATGACCATGAAATAAAATATTCTACCATTCTTCTGTCACATAAACAATGTGAACAATTATTGGGGGATTTATTTATGAATTAGTTTTTAATTAATAAACAAGTTATTAAAAGAGTACATTTATTTGAAAAATAAACATTTGAAAATATCGGGAATCGTGACTTGCTTCTTATTTGTTTTGTTTGTGTTTACCTGGCCGATTAATAAAAAGCAATACAATTGTATAAATGGTGTCAACACCCGAGGTTTCAATCTCCTTTGGGCATAATTAGCATAAAGTCAATGCATGTTATTTGGGTATCAGTGTTACACATCACTGAACACGCTGGTCAACAATGACACTATAATTTCAATCTAAGTACTGCAAAAAATCTTTGTTTCAATAATTGTGTATAAATTTATTTCGGGATTAATTAATTTTGAACATAATCTGAGGGTTCCATTTGCGTGATTTACAGTCGAACATTTATATAATAAAACACCTAAAACTGAGATTCTTAAGATAATTAAATTGGCAAGTCATTGAAAATAATCATGACTGAAATATAATACTCGGCAATGTTTAAAAAGAATTTTTCAAAAACTCCAAATTTTTAAGAAAAATGCATTCAGAGTATAGTATGGGAATCGGCCTTGCTCTATAATTATTATATCTATTTAAATTTAATTCTGGTAGAAAATATAAACAATTCAAGTTTAATTTTCTATATAAAAAAATAAATATGAAAACGAATATCAATCACAGAAAATAAAGAAATTGGTTTATTTTGGTGAAAAACTAATATACCAAATAATTGTTTTTAAATATTCATGTTTTTAATAGGTGTGAACGTCTTCTTCGTTCAATGATTATTATTTGTTTCTATACACGTACTGTGATTCTCTTAACAGTTCAGAAATGACTGTCGCGTAAGAATTGTAAATATTTGTTGATACTACTCAGAAAGAAATGATCATCAATTTCAACTGCCTCTTATATAGTTACATTGTTTATTGGTAATCTCATTCTGAGTAAGCTCCGCCCATTAAATTAATTAACCCTGCCCACTGGGACTGCTTACTGGGACTGCTGTGGGACCGCTGTGGGACTGCTTTAGCAGTCCAAGAAAGCAGTCCCCGGGACTGCTCTGGGACTGCTATGTGTCAGGTTGGGTCTGGTTGGTACTGTACATGTAAGAATAAATACTAAACTTTATAAAAAAAAATGAGAACAAACGATTTTAAAACGATAGATATTTTTAAATACTAGTAACTAAATATTAAGACCTGCTTAAAACTACACACGCCGTCACATACATGCAATAGCAATAAGACCAAAGTTCATTATATTAAAAGAGGAATAAAACTGTAGTGTTTGAAAGAATCATAGAAATTCATATTTTATTAACCATGGCAACAGCGTTCGTCAAATTAAGTAATCAAGAAATAGATTTCTGACCCTAAGTATTATCTACTTGTGTACCAAGTTTTATTGAAATCAAACAAAGACTGTAATTGGGGTACAGGCCGTAGGAACCAATTCCAGTTTGGAGCGCAAAACCTAACAAACAAGCATTCTGAAAGTATTGCATTAGCAATACTAGTCCCCTACCGGCAAGTGTAATCTGGTTCCCATTAAGAATTGAAAATGTCATAATTCCGTAAAAAATGAATGAAGCGGAACGAAATGCGAACTTGATCTATAACTAATCAAGGTAAAGTAACATACCAAAAATCAGCTCAATATCTTAAAGCGTTTAGAAGAAAATCGCGGAAAAACCCCTAAAAATTGAAAAGCCCATAATTCCGTCAAAAATCAATGAAGCGGAAGGAAATGTAAAATTGTTCTGTAACTCATCAAGATACCCTCACATACCAAAAATCAGCTCAATATCTGCAAGCGTTTAAGAAAAAAATGCGGAAAACCAAGTGGGACAGACAGACAGACAGACGGAAGGACAGACTCAGGGGAAACCTATAGTCCCCTCCGGTTTCACCAGTAGGGAACTAATTAGGTTGGGGGAGGGGACACAACTTTTAAAAAAATCCTTGACAAACGAAAAAAGGCAATCAGATTACTATTTTGGGACCACAACCCTAATTTAGTTTCAATTCCTATTGTATAGTGTACATTTACAAATTGTTGCCCCCCCCCCCCCCAGCCCTGGTTCCTACGGGCATGCAGTAGCATTTGGAAAAACTGTTTACAGTCTTGGAGTAAACTGTCTTGGAGTAATTTCTGATTGAAATAAGATTTTCTAGAACAATTTAGATAGTTTATCGTGCAGGTGCCCTGCACTGAAAGCAATTATTTCCCAAATTCACTTTTATAAAGACAAGAATTTCAACAGACGAAAAAAATCCTTAGGTTACATCGTTGTTGGATTATTGTAAAGGTAAAGTAAGAAAATTCCGAAATTTTCACTGCATTGTAATGCCACGTATCCATCATAAGATAATGGGCATCAGTTTACTCTTTTGTTTGCATTATTTTGAAAATGGTAGAAACCTTTCGTACAAGAACTGGGTACTTTACTAAAATTGTTTACTCTCAATGTACGATAACCGTGCTTCTTGTGGGGAATTGTCTCAGAAACAAAAATCTAGATGAACTGACATAAAATTCTTTAATTTGACGATTGTGTAAAGGAACTATAGTAAAAGTTATCTCTCTTATCAGAGGATAAATGAACCTTAATAATCGATGAAAAGCAACCTCTGAACTTCGTATAAAGTAAAAACTACTTAATTTTTCAAATGGAAAATTACATTATAATTAACCTGCTAAAACATTTCAGATGTTTTTGTTTAATTTAGACTTGGCATTTTACTTATCACAGAGGAAATGGTAGATAAGAGGGTGAAAGTTTATCGGACAGATTATGCACTTCGTTGCATGCTGGAGAAGATGAGATTTTGTTAAATCGTATAACATAAGTTCTTTGCAAATTACATTTGTGTCTAAGTGAAAATTATCCCACAAGGTTTGATATTGTCCTGCTAATCTTCTTAAGACAAAGTTTAAAAATATTTTTTCTTATCATTTTAAGAAGCCTATCTTCTTTAAAATTAGCATTGATTGGTATTAACCGTATCATATATTTGTTATATCAAAAGTGACATATAGATACATTTGGTCAAGTCTTTAAATTGTTAGGGCATTATTTTCAATGAATTGTCTACGGATTTTCCGTTTGTCCGATCATGACAAGGGCACTTGGCGAGTGTGACCGGTCAACAGGGGATGCTTACTCCTCCATGGTACCTGATCCCATCTCTGATGTTTTTAGAGGTCCGTATTTGCTCTGCTCCAAATCTGTATTGTTGCAATGGACTTTTGAACTTGATAACTGTTCGTAATTTTCATATTTCATACATGTTAGTACTCAACAGAAATTGTGCTGTATAATATATATCACTCTGATAAACCATTTACTTATTGTAGCATCTATCTGTAATGTAACTTGTACATTATACAAATAACGACCACCTCTGACATGCCTCATTTTTTTAAAATTTAAGAATAGATCTGTACCTTAAGTTTTTCTAACAGTATAATTTGTTTTACTATTGTGTAGCTTGATTTTAAGACTGAAAGAAAATTTCTTTCCATGTTTGATGAAAAAAAGAAAAAGATAAATCTGAAAGTTCTTTAGAACTATAAAATATTGTATATATGCCCCGCTAACAATTAATTTCAAGCGCTTTTCTATTTACTTAATTTTACAACACAACTTAATAAACCTTGTACTTACATTCAAGCTGTAATATTTCAACATTTAATCATTCACTTGATGTGGTAAATGTCATTCGATAGACAATTGATTATTGTTAAAGTCTATATCGAACTCCTTTAATGAAATGATAAATAGAAGCTTTCCGTGTCGTAAATTCAAAAGCCTTCAGTTTCTTAAAACAGATGTTTGCATAACACTTTAGAGTCCTTACAAATTTAAACATTGATGAAGTTATGGATATGTTTTTGATTTTTATTATAAAAAGCGACATCTTGCTTTTAACTAACTTCATGTAACTCGTACAGACATTAAGAAATTTGATAAAAATCATGATCCAAACACAAAAGTGAAAAATTTGTTGCAGATCTTTTTGAACATGACACGGTACATTTCTCACGTGCGAAGTCATCATATACTCTTTACCGAACCAATGTATGCATATTGTATCAGTGTGTGAATAAAAATTCCCACTAATTGGTCATGAACAAGACTTCCAAATCCCACGAGACAACAGCATAGAGAGCAGAAAATTTCAATTGCAGAAGAAATCGGTAAAATCGATCTGGTACGAAGAACGTACTTTTTTTTTACACAGGGCCTGTTGATTGCTTGGCCGGATAACTAAGTATTTAAAATCATAATACATCATTACTGTTACTGGTATATCGAATGCCTTCGTCCAATGGGATTGCGGATTGTGCTAACCACATGTTGTTCGTAGCAAACATATGTTCCAGTTTGATTCCATCTCTCGCTCAGATTCACGCCAGTTTAAAGGACAGTCTAACGAGTGATAATAATTTCCGAAAGGATACCTCAATAGCTATCTAAAACAATTTTACATTTTAATGTAAGAAATAATAACTGAAATCAATACACGTGTTAAAGAATGACAAGTGCTGCGTTGTTGTGAATATTCTGTGTTGCTGATATATCTTGATATATATTTCATACGAAAAGATAAGAATTTGAATTTCATAATGTTTTGATATATTCAAAGACTGATGGTGGTATAAAGAAAGATTGCGCTGTTCATCTTAAAGAGAACTTTAAATTAGTATGCTAATGGAGAACTTGACTAACATTCCGGAAAATCTTACCGGGGCTCCTGAAAACTCCTCTGTCGCAACTCGATGTTCAGACGTGATCTGCCTAAACGACGAAGAGTACCTAGATTATTTAGAGGACTACGTTTTTCCAGAGGACTGGGAATGGGCCATCATCATTCTGTACGCCATAACATTTGTGGTTGGACTATCTGGGAATGTTCTGGTCTGTTTTGCTGTATGGAGAAACAGATCCATGAGGACAGTGACAAATATTTTCATCGTGAATTTGGCAATTGCAGATCTTACCGTGATCATAATATGCCTCCCACCAACCCTTTTGGCTGACGTGACAGAAACTTGGTATTTCGGATTCGTAATGTGCAAAATAGCATTATTCTTGCAGGTAAGGATTTTTTTGTCAGTTTGCACAGATTAACACAACACATTGCATTATATCTTTGTCTTACAATTTAAATATATATTTCCACCTCAGATCAATAGAACATCATAAGAAAGCTGTTTAATCAAACTCTTCCCATTATCTAGCTAAATTTAATTTGACAAATTCAACCGTTTCGTGCAACCGTTATATACCAATACATATGCTTGTTCGATATAGAGTAAGAAAAACTATAATTGCATATTTAGGTCTCCACTTGGCTTTCAAGGGTATATAAATCATGAAATATATTAGAGAACAAATTTGTTTTATAGATTCATTTTAAGTACCTGATAATCCACTTACCCAAACTTATCTAAACTGATTTTTTCCGCTTAGGAGCTTTTATTGAATTACACAATGCGTCATAAGAATTGTACCCATTTATCGTTTTTCTAGTGTGCCATATATAATTCTCTGTGATATCAGAAAAAAACTATAGAATATTCGACAAGATGACGACTTCTGACAGTGTGTATTCAATAATGAATTTCTAGCTCATATTACAAAAGGAATGGCACGCTACACGATTGATGTTAATTTCTTGGTCTTTATTATTTTAAAAGATTTTAAAATAAATGTTTCAGCTAGGTGGCTGCAGATACAATATATTAATATTTAAAGGTGTCTCAATGTTTATTATCTTCTTCTGAGTTCTTTTGATGAGCAGCAGTAAAGAATAAGACATAATAAACTATTATGTCATTTCATTTTCTGAGAGAAGGTCGTGATAGATTAATACTGTTACTTGTTTATATCTACTGCAAAGCAGAATCCAGCAGATAAACATCTACAAATTTATATAAGTTGTTTATGATAAAGATATGATGATGTATGGATTGGAATTTTTAAAATGCCATGCGTGATTTCTGGTAGGTAAACATTATAAGTTTTATTAACAAATTAATATTACACCTACAGCAGTCTCACTTTTGAAAAGGTTATTGACGCATACTTTGTCAGATATGTACACGTATATATTGCAGAAAAAATCGAAAATCTCTCGACTCTAATAGAATACAGTAGACACGTTTATTTTAACATTTAAACTGTAACATTCGATAAGCTGAGATAACGGAGAACAGTTAACGACATATTGAAAGATTTTAGTATTATTTTGCTGTGTTTATTGTATCTCACATATTTCAATGCCCATTAATTCTACATAAATTCTTCATTATATCATTCAAGAAGTTTTCCTCCACAAATGAGCAGATAATAAAGATAAAAGGGTGAAATAAGTATGATATCAAATAATTTCTCTGATCTATCTCGGATATAAGGACCCCCAAAACACGTGATGTGCTTTCTTCATCTCTTATCAGTGCTTTCTCCAATCCTCATAATGTCTGCTAATTATGTGGCTTTAATGCACGCTCCTCTGCAATAATGCATACCTGTGAGAGCCCTAATTACTGTTATAGTTTCCCAACGAGATGCTGATAGGAATACGTTTGTATTTTTAGGGTTAATTTGAACAGAAGTAATTGCATATAGAAAGACTGTTCTCTCATTGAGAAAACGATGTTCATGCCCTTGCCGCACATGGCCAATTAAGAAGCTTTTAAATTCGTTTCAGATTTAAAGATTTTTTTTTTTTGCACATCATGCGGATTTATAGAGTTGAAAATAATTCTGCAACTGTGAAATAGGAGGAAATTTAGGGGAAAAAATGTCAATTTTTTTGTCACTGCACTTGTAAAGTGACACTCGAGGCGACAGGATCATCACAATGTTGGAAGCTGTTAATCTTTATAGTCTAAATAAGGTCTGTATGTATTTAAAAGGTCTTTCACTCGTCGCATTAAGAAATGTTTTTATTTTTGACTGACCATTACAAAGGGGAATGTCGTTACCTGGCTTGTTTCTTTACAAATAATTTTCAAATCATTCTAGGTGTGAAATTCCGGTGAAGTTCAAATATTCATGACATAACTACCCTTTGTATTTGTAACCCGCGGGTAAGGACAATCCCAACTATCATTCGAGAATTTATACATAGGCAACCAATCAACTTAACTCTATTTAATGAAAACCCCCAAAACCGGAAACAAACATATAACATAAGAATTGTTAAACAAAAAAATTCTTTTAATACCTATATATTCTATACATTTCCTATTTTTTGTTTATATGCCGAACTATGGTGGGAATCAAAAGGATATTTTTTCACCATTGTGCACCAGAATGAACAGAAAAGAATGAAATAATGAAGACAGTATGTGTTATACATTAAAACTCTAGCCATTGTCTTCTAAATTATATACTACATCCTGGGTCGTCTGTTATAACAAGATAGTTCACCTTGAGAGGATGTTGTAAAACCAGGATTGTTTTTAGAAAGAGAAGCCCTTTTAAAGGTGCAGTTTTCCTAAAATTTGATGAATTTTTAGAGAATTATCAAGTAGTTTACCATATCAGCGCTTTTACAAGTTAGCCCAAACCCTCATGAATTTTGCTTTCTCTCTTAAATTTGCCAAATTTCCTCAGAATGCACATGATATACTGGGTTCTCATGCTCGAAAACCTAGTATATTAGAGGGTACAGTGAACAGAAAGAAATAATGCTACTGAAATGATGCTTATCTAATACTAAATATTATTTCCATCAATAGCAATTAAAAATTGTTGCAAGACAGTAGATAATGCAGCTGAAATATTTACAGATTTATACAATGACGAGTTTCGGAATCAAAGTTACATGTATCCCTCAAATTCTTCAAAATATAATCATACATGTAATCACTTGAGGAACTAATATCAAAATTATTTTTCGAAAATATTAATAAAAAGATTGCTTTAAAAAGTCTCACATAGGTTTTTTTCAATACATTATATGTGATGTGTTACCTAAATCGAAGACAGATATTACTTACATTTGTAGTTAATTAAAAGGCAGAACAGATTCCCTTAGTTCTGAATGACCAAAAACTAATTAAGAGAACAAAAAATTTATAGACTGCAATAGAATTATGTTTTCCTACCTTAGAGGATCTTTTGTGGGATTTTTTAGTACATATTAATGATAGAAGGGAAGTTAAAAAGTGGAGGAGTGAGCATCCTAACGAAAGACAATGAATAGAAGAGGTTTTAAGGACATACGCAAGGTAGTTTGAACTTAATTGTCTTTTTCCCTAGAGTTGAAGAGTTCCAATACTTAAAGGAACTGTGTGCTACATTTTAATCTCTATATACATGTAATATGCTGTTGTACACTTCTTCTAAAACAAGGTTAAATAAACAAAACATAGAGAATATATGTTTACTAATTTTTGTACATTAAATTTTGAAATATGCAAGAATTTTCATCAAATGATATCTTTTCAAAACCTCTGATAATGCATGCTGATTTTTTGTCTATGAACATCTGATGGCACTATGATCTTAAATTACGAATATCTTGAAAAATTATCAGTAGGTAAGGTACGTTGCGTATGTCCTTAACAAATTACAAAATAATAACAAGTACTTGTAACTTTCAAAGTGGATAGCCATCTGCACATGTTGTTGGACAGTTTTCCAAGAAGAAACATGCCACATCTGCCTTACATGAAGTATATGGATATACCTACCTTGTAATAATATTGCAGGAAAGTCCTAAGAATTTCTCTGTCAATCAAAACCATAAACCACGCAGAACCGTGGCATACTTAAAACTCCCTAGTTCTGAGATTTATTACAATGATAATTAAATGAATGTCATTTAAATACATAAATTATTACATGTTTGCTTATACATGTAGTAATAAACTCATGATAAATTCCCTTCCCGTAATATGATACACAACAAGATGTGTTTTTGAAACACTGATGCCCCCGTATTGCAACTCATAACAAAGGTTAAACTTTCTCAAATGCAAATCAAATATGTTGATACCCAAAGTAAGGTTTTGTTTCGAGGAATACACCTGTGAAATATGAAAACCCTAGCAGCAACCATTGAATAGATATGGAAAAGGTTAAAGTTTTTCAAAAGTAAGTCAAACATCAAGGTCAAGTTAAAATGGTCAAAATTAATGGTGCCCAAGGAAAGGCTTTCTTACAAGAAATGCACATGTGAAATATGAAAGCCCTAGCACCAACTGTTCAAAATTAATGGCCAAGGTTAAAGTCTTTCAAAAGTAGGTCAAATTCCAAGGTCAAAGGGTCAAAGTTGTTGGTATCCAAGGTAAGGTCTTGTCACAAGGGTTACATATGTGAAGTGCGAAAGCCCTAGCGCTTACCGTTTAAAAGTTATGGCCAAGGTTAAAGTTTTGCAAAAGTAGGTCAAACTCCAAGGTCAAAGTTGTTGGTATTCAAAGGAAGGTCTTGTTACAAGAATTACATATATGAAGAATGAAAGCCCTAGCACCAACCGTTCAAAAGTTATGGCTAAGGTTAAATTTTTGCAAAAGTAGGTCAAGGTCAAAGGGTCAAAGTTGTTGGTATCCAAAGAAAGGTCTTGTCACAAAGATTACACATGTGAAGAATGAAAGTCCTATCACCAATTGTTCAAAAGTTATGGCCAAGGTTAATTTTTTTTTTTTCAAAAGTAGGTCAAAATCAAAGGTCAAGGTCAAAGGGTCAAAGTTGTTGGTATCCGAAGGAAGGTCTTGTCACAAGGTACACACATGTGAAGTTTGAAAGCCTTAGCACCAACTATTCAAAAGTTATGGCCAAGGTTAAAGTCTGAAAAAAATTAGCAAAAGTCGGTCAAACTCCAAGGTCAAGGTCAAATTTTATGGTACCCAAAGAAAGGTTTTGTCACAAGAAATACACATGTGAAATATGAAAGTCATAGCTGTAACCAATCAAAAGTTATGGGCAAGGTTAAAGAGGTGAGAAAATAATGATTTGAAGAACGTTAATTATTCACCATTTGTATTATGTGACTGAAGGTTCCACATATGGAGCCTTCTTAACAATGTGTAAATTATTAACCAAAAAAAAAATTTCCCAAAATATCCAGAATACCAATCCCGATC